GTTTTGAAGAAACTTTCGATTTTGTTTTTCAGTTTTTCACAAAAGGGTTGGGTCGACTTACCTGACATGATGTCGCCGTCCTCGTCGTCGCTGGCGCCTAGGTTGGAGAGGTGCTCGTACGAGTCCCAGCGCGTCACGGGGTCCTCCGAGGAGTCCAGGGTGGGCACGGCCGGGGTCGGCGCCGGCGAGGGCAGCCGCGGCTCCGGGGTCGGCGAGAAGTGCAGCTCGACGGCGCCGTCCAGAGGGAAGCGGAGGTCTGGAGAAGAAAAGTGTAATGTAAGTGGGTAATGTAAGTGGGTAATGTAAGTTGGTAATGTAAGTTAGTAACATTAGAGGGTAATGTAAGTGGGTAATGTAAGTCGATTATGTAAGTGGGTAATGTAAGTGGGTAATGTAAGTGGGTAATGTAATTGGGCAATGTAAGTGGGCAATGTCAGTTGGCAATGTCAGTGGGTAATGTAAGTGGGTAATGTACGTGGGCAATCTACGCGGGCAAATTAAGTGGATAATGGTAAGTTGGATGAGTCGCGCTTACCGTCGCAAGCGTAGTCCAGTTCGCTCCGGGTGAAGCTGAGTGTGTAGTCAGAGACGGCGCACGTGTGGAACTGGGCCGCGAACACAATCTCCCGCGCCTCCTTGTAGTGCGTCGGGTCGTTCGGGTCGATCTTCTTGGTGTAGTGGCGGTGGTAGCACTTGACAAGCACGTCACCGCGGAGCTGCAGCCCGCGCCGCCCGCGCTCGGCCGCCACGTTGACGGTGAAAGCGCGCGCGTCCTCGGCCACGCAGTACACGGCCGAGGTGTGCACGGGCACCAGGCCCTCGTACACGCGCAGGAAGGCGCGGCAGCCGCCCGCCACGCCGCCGGCCGCGCCCGGCGCGCCCCCGCCCGGGTCCGGTCCGTCCGGGTGGGTCGGCTCGAAGGACGGCGCGCCCAGCACCGTGACGTGCGTCAGGTACAGCGGCGCCGAGTTGATCTTGATGGAGCCCGAGAGCAGGCCCGAGAAGTAGTCGACGTAGCGGCGGTGCGAGGGCTGGTCCACGTCCTCCACCTGGTCCTGCAGGAAGCGCTTCATCGCGAACCGGTCGAGCGCCTGGTCCGCGCCGCCGCAGATCTGCGAGTAGTGCATGTAGGCCGCCACCACCACGCCGATACGGTCCTTGCTACCCCTGCCAAGACCAAGAAAAGAAAATGGTTAAATCAAAATGCAGGCGTATAAACAAACAACAAAAACTTTCACCGCCAGTACAGGTCTTCCGCAATGTACGTCCGTTTTCCTCAGATTCATTCGGCAAATCACGGGAGCTCGGCGCCTGCGAGGCTCCGGGTAGGCCACCCCACACTACACGCATGCACTCCTGGCAAGATATTGCCTACGTAACAGGCGCTACGACGGAAGCGCGTACATGTTAAATTTTCAGGTCTATTATGGCGAATGACGGACGTACTTTCTGGATGATGCCATAGGGACTGGCTCACTTTGTCAACGAATGACAGGTCGAAAGGAGCAAAATGTTTATCTTACATAAACCATGAGCCAAATGAGCCCATCTTTATATTTTTTGTAAAAATCTTCCAGAGTATTTCCAATTTTTCGTGATAGCTCTTGAAAACTTTACATACGAGTTGGCATCCCCAGAACTTTGACGCCACTCACTCCGAGGCCGCCCTACGCACCTGGCGTGCACGACGGCGATGCGCCGCGGGCCGCCCTTGAGCCACGAGTCCATGTCCTTGCAGATGGAGCAGAGGCGCTCCAGGGGCGGCGCCAGGTCCCGGGGCCAGCCCAGCTCCCGCACCGACTGGTGGTGCTGCCGCAGCGAGCGGCGCGGCGCCGACAGGTTGAACACCTGCGAAAAACCGGGGGAAAGAGAAAAAAAATTAACAATCAAGTTCACAACAAGAAAAGAAAAAAATCATCAATGGTTAATGAAAACAGCGCGATCGACAGGAAAGGACGAGATGAAGGAAGGAAAAAACATTAAAAAATAATGCATGTCAAAGGATGCGACGACGCGGCCGCGACGGCGGTCACACATCGATTGCTGATGCGCATTAATAAAGGCGGGAGGTGGAGGGAGATTTGAAAAAAAAAAAAAGAAACGTTTGAAAAGGAAGTGCCGCCGCCGCCACCGCCGAAGCCGCAAAGAGGAAATGGGCGAAAGGGAAAAAAAGTAATACAGTAATACAATAACGCACGCGCGCGCTATGGGTGGCGAATAAAAGGCAATTTGAGGTTAATTAATAAACGTTTTCATCAAGCGGATGAAAAGCGCCACGTCCCCTCTTGAGAGGGGGGAGAGGAGGCCGCCATAGGCGGAGCGCTGAATCGGAAAAGTTAAGAACGCCGAGAGCAGGTAAATGTGCGTTGAGGAAGAAGAAATATTTTTCTTGATCGCGACCGCGGGGGGAAAAAAAAAGTTATACGGAGATGAGAAAACGAGCACGACGATCGTTTCAGAAGCACTCTACGCTTATTGCAATGGAGTGATACCAGTCGGGGGAGACGTCTGGACACGGGCGGGGAAAGGGGGGAGGGGGGAATCGAGCGGCAAAAACTAAAATAGGTCAGGTGGGTTTTACGGACGGGAGGACCTTGCTTGCTTGTGTGTCGGTGCCAGCAAAAGGGGAGAGTCGCGCGAGGGCAGGAGGGAGGAGCGCTGCTCTGATACGGCGCGGACGGAGAGTTCGGCGGCGGGATTGGAAAACGGGATGAGGGGAGGAGGGGAGAGCGGTGGGGAGAGCGGGAGAAGGGCTGAGTGGAGTGGCTGGCGTGATGTCCAGCAGGGGAAGACGGATGGATCCGACCGTGTGTCGGCAAAGGGGCAGTGCTGGCGGGGCGCCTCGTCCGTACCTACCCTACACCTGGGGGGCGGGGGCCAGGGGGGTCGACGACGCACAAACACCAAGCTCCGCGTCGTGTCACATGCAGGGATGATTAAATATTGTTTTTCACTAAGATTCGAATTAAACTGAGGATTGTAAAGTGCGTATTCAATAAACCGTTGGCTAGGGGGTGATCGTCATTGTATAGAAAGCAGTACACGTATCGCCCGGCCCGCGGACGCCTGTTACCGTCCCGGTGTGCCCACCTAGGAATTTTAATTTTCCACGGTAAAACTTTGAAAGATTTTTCTTTTCAATATCTTGTTTTTTCTTGAGGTGTTTAATTCTTTTTCTATTTTTCCGGATGTATTGCAATTCTTTACGATATTTTTTCCTTGAAAAGCGTCGAGTTTTTTTTTGGTGGAAACGTTTTGGAAATCTCAATGCTCACCATGTAGTTGTCGGCGTGCTTGGTGCGCAGCATGTTGGCGGCCTGCTGCTGGCCCTGCAGGTAGGCGGCGCGCCCGACGTCCCCGGGCACCCACAGGGCGATGATGCGCTCGGTGACGTAGCGCAGGTCCATGGCGTCCCGGGGCCGCGCCCTGGCCGCCCTCCTCACCGCCGTGCTGCCGCCGGTGCCCGCCGACGGCAGGCTCTTGTGGAGGGTGGAGCCACCGCCGCTGCTGCTGCCGCCGCCGCCATTGCCGCCGAGGGTGCCGCCGCCACCACTGCTGTTGTTGTTGGGCAGCGTGCTGATGTTGTTGTTGTTAACGGACGTGTTCTGGCCGGGCGTCGTGGTCTGCAACCAATGGGGTGGTTTGGTTAGGCACGTTTTTCAATAAATATGAAGCAGAAAATTTAATGGTGCAGCCACCACCATGGCAGCAGCTCCAGGGGGAGGGGGAGGTATTGGGGGTAGGGGGAGTATAGGGTGGATAGGAGGGGAAATGGAGGTGGTAGGGGTAGGTCGTAACAGAGTCTGCCTGCTGAGCAGGACCAAAATCTAGTTTCGCTAGTGATCGCCCATACATGATCAAAAGGGGTAGGGAGTAGGGCGAGGGGGTGAGACGAGAACGAGAATCCGCGAAGAGAAAAGAAAGACTGTGAACAGAGAAGGAGGGAGCAGGATAACGGATATTTTGTAAATAGATAATAATGCTTTCATTTTTTCAAATCAGTTAAACGCGTTTCAGATTTTGTTGTCTCCGAGGTCACATTGTATTTTGTTTCTACTTTTAGAGAATTATTGTTCCCCTCTCAGAAATAACCAGCTTTTATGCTGAGTGGGCGTACACTGCGCACTCTTCTCTCTCTCTCTCGAAGCCACCTCATAATCATCCCTGAACAACGGCCCTTATCATTAGGGGCGGTGAAACAAGCATGCTCCGGAACAAGGGACGGGT